TCCTGTAGTGCTCACATGAAGAAACTTTCAGAAATACTGTTCCAGGCTGCCTTCACATTGGTAATTGTACAAACAAGAGGGAAGGGAAGAATGAGATGCTATGACCTCTCTACCAAAGCCCCTCCAGTCACCTGTGCTCCTTTATATCATCACGGGCTGTGGATCCTAACAGATGGCCCAAATGAGCCCTTGCTCCTGGCAGCACAGGAGACAGCCTACCCACAGGGATGCCCTCTGCTCAAGCTCTGCTGGGTCTCTGCACTAATCCTTGTGCCCAGCCATCTGAGTTAGTGCTGCAGCATGTCAACCCCTGGTGCATTCCCATAGTCTCTCTCTGCTCTCATACTGATGCTTTCTGTAATTTTCCATTCCTGTGTCTCTGCACCCATGAGTTATTCCTATGAGGTAGCCAAATTTCAGTACTCCCATCACTGCTTTTAAACTGCCCGTATTCCTAGCTTGGACTAATACCAATTTCTGCCACTTACTTGCCTACCTTTCAGCAAGCCCTTCTTTGTTTTGCATAGAAATAAAACTGTAACTGTACCCTGCCAGAAGAATTACTTTTCTAATCCTCTCCCCTCCACTTCCTCCTTTTATTCTTCTTCCTCTTCTTCAGGAGTAATTTTATGTAATTTGCAACTGTCTGGCTGCAAATGAAAAGAGACATAAAGTGTTTCTGCAAGATATTGAAAAGCTGGATGCTTTTCCCACAAATTTCACTTAGCAAGAGGCTTTAACTTGCTGTGTGATCACTGTATGTCATTAATAACCTCTCCAATTCCTTTCAGAACTCAGCAAAGTGAAGGCACAATCACGAATCAAAGGCATGGGTTATGGAGATATAATATCATTTCATCAAGCTAGGGAGGAGTGTGCCAGTGAGTGGGGAGAAGGCAAAACACCACACTGCTAAGCTGGCTGGCAGATGAAGAGGACACTAGATTTAGGAAGAAGTGTTAAAGGCCTGATTTTCTCTGCTTTTCAGATCAGAAGATTTTTGCCTCTGTTCAGCCTATATGGGTTGTGTGTCTTTCCCCAAGCCCTGCATCCTGAGGCCACAGAGGGAGCTGCTTTCTATTTTGTTCCTTAGGCATATCCATCTCCACCTCTGACAGGCTCAGAAGACTCAACAAACTGCTTTATTGGGACTGAGTCAGATTTAGTTGTGCAGTTCCCCAGCCTGTCCTCAGGGAGCAGAACTAGGGAACAAGAAATGGGATGTTTGCACACAGCAGAGAACATTGTGGAGGGCGGGGAGGAGGAGTGTGGCTGGCTGGCTGGGAGGTAGTGCTGGACAGAGAACCGGCCACGGTGCTGGTGCTGTCTAGGCACTGCACAGTCCCTGTAAGCAAGGTGCCATGTCCTCCCTGCCTGTCACTCGTACCGACTGGGGCAGTGGGCAAACCTGCCTTGGCTGTGCTGAGCTTCACAAGTCACAGTCCACATCACAGGGTGTGGAAGCAGGTTCACTGCCTGGGTACTCCTCTTGCCCACCCGCAGTTGACATAGATACTTGGCATCCTTTTAAGCTCCTTAGCAAGCTTGGGTGATAAGACACTTCCGCTAATTCACCAAGGATGTGCTTTACCTCTCTGTTCTAGGAAGCTCCATCCTTCCTTCCCTAAAGGAATATTCACATATTTGTTATTTCCAGACTGCACTGACAACAATTCAGCAGCTCAGAGGTCAGAACAGGTGTTTTAGATAATACAATATGCAGCTGACTGTGCAGGTGAGATTGGTTGAGTTACCAGCCCTGGAGCGATTTAAAAGATGTGCAGAAGTGGCACTTAGGGACATGGTTTAGTGGACTTAGCAGTGCTGGGTTAATGGTTGGATTCGACAATCTCAGAGGTCTTCTCCAACTTAAGTGATTCTATGATTGCTGCTTTACACCCTGAGCACACTAGCCCATACAAAAGGGTGTAAAAGCCAAAATTCTGTCTATCTCGGAAAGAGATGCTATGCCTTATTGTCAAAAAACCAGCTTTTCAAAGTTTAAATTCCTTTAGTTACCATACATCCAACAGCCCTTAATTTAAAAATAAAAAAGAATTCTGATGTCACAGAAGGAGAACTTGCCAGAAATGCCACAGGAGCAAATAGGGTGACTCCTATTGATTATATAACTATATATAACTCCAAATACAAAATATAACTCTAAATACAAATATAACTATAAATATAAAACCTCAGGAAAGCTACACTGCACTCATGGCCGTGCAGGAACAAAGCGTCCACATTCTTAGACAGGCTGACATCACTGGCATCAGACCTGGAGGGCCTAAGCAATACCTCTGTGGGCCTAGACCTAAGTGACAGACTTGGAAGAAAACCCAGAAGTCCTGCTCCAGTTACCTGTTCACAGCCTAAGGACCCCTCAGAAACCATATCAAAGCATTTCCACAAATCTGACCTTACCAAATCCTCAGTCTAGACCTGGAAAGTCATTTGTCTCTGTTCAGGTTCATGAACTGTTGAGATCAACCACTGCTTTCAGCATTGAGACCAATAAAGGAATGTACTTGTGGCATCTTATGCTTGCTTGGTAGTACAACAGTAAGTGTAGGATCAACAGAAGATCCTTCCTATGCCAGTTTGATCCTTTGTTATCTCTAAATGTGCTGATGGTTGGTCAGGTGATGTGCTCAGGTGACAGCTTGTGTCACCCTACACTGATGTCATATACCCTTCAACTTTCTTCCTGCTATTGCTCTGTGCAACAAAGAGATAGCATGGGGTTAAAATAAACAAGAAATCACTTGTTTACCAGACTACAGCCCATCTACTCAAATATCAGTTGTGTGGTTCAGTACATTCTGTTCTCTTCCCTATGCTCGGACCCTCGCTGTATTTCTGGTTATAGGCTTTGCCATAGAGTTCAACAGAAGATTATCTAGATGAAATTTTACGGCCTTGTTCCCAAAACAGGGAAGCAAATACCCAGCACTCCCATCTATGAATCATTTCAGGAGTATTCTCTGTGATCAGCTGGATCAGAGGAATGGGTAATGCTATACAGACACAAGCAAACCTGAAAGCTTCCTCAGGTCACCAAGACCATGTCCATGCCAAGAACAACTCTATGTGCATCTGGATGGAGGTCTGTTCCATTCTGGTAGTTACCATCTCTAAATGACTGCTAAAATGATCAGAGAGAGAGGGAATCATGCCTTCTTGGTCATTGAGGGACTTAAGAGAAACTAAATGTGATGAAGTGGTGAATTGACAGCCTGAAAATAAACAGCTCCAAATGCCACACAGCTCATCTTCATCCTAATCCTGAAACATAATTACACCACATTGCTCATTAACTGTCTCCAGACAAATATGTTCAAAAGTACTCTTCTAGCAGACTTCTTACTGTTCCCAGGCAGTTTCTTACACCTCCCTTAACATAAAAAGCCTTTAGATCACCACATCACAGATACACTGCTGCTTCAAATATTGTTCCATGCAGCACAATACAACCACTGAGAGCACAGACAGTAGAGAAACATGCAACAAATTCCCAATGTAGAACCGTAGCAAAACTGAGATTGCCTTGAATCCACCAAGCCTCACAGGAATAACCTTTCGGAGACCCTCAGCAGGTACTAGTACTAGGCAGACACATTCAGGTGTCTGACTTCCCCATTGCATTAACAGCACTGTACCATGATTCCTCATACTGCTCTTCCATCCTCTGACTTGTTCTCATACACTCTGTCAATTCTGCCCCGGACCAACACACACACAAGCTTACACTGCTTTAGTCCAAAAAACTGACCACTTCCTGTCACACAAAAGTAACTCAAGCAGATCTGAGCAGCTGGTTATTTTCACTCTTTTTCCTGGCCATCCCAAGATAAAGATTCTGTTAAGTGGGAATTAAGTAACATGCATTTTCCAGTGCTCAAATGCCAGCATAGGCCCATGCAAAAAGGGAGCACAGGTAAACAAATGCAGAAAAGGATGTGTGCATGTGGAGGTCTTGAGGGCAGCTGGGAGAGACTAGGGAAGCTCTTTGGACCTGTATGGGTTAAAGAGAAAATGTTATGGCTAATAATTCCTAAACCCTCTACAGAGACCCCTAGTTTACATTAATTATTCTGTTGCCTTGAGCACTCAGGGCCTCGCGTGAGCTTCTATCTAAAAGTATCCAACTCCTCCTACTACTCACCTCCAAATGAATCCTTTCAATGTGCGTGATCAAGCCCCTCAGCACAGCAAGGGAACTGCCCAGTCAAAGCTCTTAAATCATACCAAAATGGGAACGGCAACAATTCAAAATTCCTTTCAGCTCACCAGTAGGTCCCAAGGAGGCAGAGGACTGCCCTGCAAGCAGGGACCTGTTCCACAGTGCCTGGCCTCCTGTAATCCCTACTGCACTTTGCTCCCAAGACCAGCTGTGGAGGGAGCAGGACCCAGGAACAGACGACAGCCAGTTCAGCAGTCCTGGTCTCACCTATATAACCCATTTCTCTTCCAAACAGTGGGATGTGGTAAGTGTATTTTTTTCGTCTGATCTAACTCAGACACAGCACTAGAAGTCTGTCCAGGTACCCTGTAGGGCAATGCAGAGTAGAAGCAGATGCACCAGGAGGTTCTGCACCCCTGGAAAAAGGGTTTGGTATCTTGTCTTGTCTCATGTGAGCTTTCCAGCATGCCCACTGTGCAGGCTGCACCCATGCTCTTCACCCCAAAGCCCACAGCTCCCTAGTGATAGGGACAGATAGGTGAAAGTGACATGTCACATCACAGAAAGCAAAGAATAGCACAGAAACAGGCCTAGCCAGAGCTACATGGGGCAGCCTTGTCCAGGCAGAGAAAAAAGCAGCAGCTCTGTGAAGAGCACTGCTGTGCTCCCACTCCTATATCCCTGTTCTAACTCCTGAAACATGCTTCTCTTTCACAAGCAGGAAAATTAATCTAAGCCACTTCTCACCCTTGCTCCCTCCCCGATAATTCCGCATTTGCCTGCCCATGGCATCCAGACACAATTACTGGGGACTTACCCCTGGCAAAGTCTTCTGTTCATGCAGTGCTGTCTGGGCTTTGATGGCAGAGTCTCTGGCACAGTATGTGAGGAATGCACAACCTGCAGTGGATACAGCAAATGTCAAATTAGACAGGCAATTGCAGATGCACATCAACACAAATGTTACATAATTTGGTTGTGTCTAAGACTCTAAGGAAAGGGACAAAGAAATAATGTAAAAGGACTTGCAGGCCCCATCCAAGGTCTGTTAAGTCCTCAAAAAGGGTCCCAGTGAATCAACTAGGTTTGACACAGGCATTGAACAATGAGACACAACAGGAACGCAAAAGGAAAGCTAATTTGGTCTATAGTAGAAGCAGTTCAAAACACAGGGATCAGAGAAGAGGCAAGGACCAGTATGATTATTGATTTTAAAAAAAAAAAAAAAAAAAGCAAGGAAAGAGGAAAAGTGTCTGGGATTTTAGCTTCATACAAAAACTTCATGATCCAGATTCATGAATCATGGAAAGCTATAGAAGGAGAGCCCTGGCCTTGTGTGCGATAAGATGTGCACAAACACATGCCAACATACATATGCATGACAAAGGAAATCCAGAGACCAGCAAAGCATAATGCATTCTTCAAGGGCCAACTTAGGAAGCAAGGTAAAAGGCACAGGGAAAAGGCCAGATCTTGACATTCTTAGTCAAGATATGACTCAACATCTTAGCTGAATACTGGAGCCAAGGGAGGAGGGGAAAAACTATAGCCCCTCCAGGAAGAAGAGGGATCATCTTTGGGTGCTCTGATGCTTAATCAAATGAAACTAAGCACATGAAAAATCTGGCTGGTTATCAAGAAACATTTCCTAGCAGAAAGAGATTTATTAGACTGTGGAATGATCTCCCCAGGGAAGTGCCTGAAGCTCCATCACTTGAGTTGTTTCAGATGAGGATAGGCAAAGCACTGGAGAATAGACTCAAATGCTAGAATGAGTCTGACCCCCTCATTCAACCCCCCTCCTATTGGCGGTGGCATTTCACATCCTAAGCAAAGGCAGGACACGTCCCTTTGGCTGTTGCTAAACGTCTACGTCTACACTATTGTGCTGGGGCTGCAGATGCATTGTTATGGCCCACAGAGGTCTGTTTTTCTGACTCCACGTTCTTGTGCCTGGCTTGGGGTACTCTAAAATTGCTTCAATTCTCTGTGGATCCAAAGGTGGATGTGGGACAGGGACTGTCCGGACCTCTCCCCTCTACCCCGCTGGGACTCCATCGTACACAACACTCTGGCAGAAGCCAGCTGCTCAGGACAATCCCAGCCCATGGCAACACGGTTATCCTATTCTTCCATCCCAACTCCAGTAAGTTGCTGCAGCTAAGCAGATCACATCTGTCCTCACACCTCTTGCTAGGGGAAAAAAACCCCTCCATAAACAGCACACAAGCACTAGAAACCTCTAAGAGATAATTAAAGCTCCTTACTGCCCAGGTTTTTAACCAAGAATTCTGCACCAAAGTCAAGCGTGGGATCAACAGATAATTTAACAAATGCAGTGAGGCCAGGAAGCATGAAGGTAAACTCCACTTCTCATAGCAAAGGCAGCCAGATCTGTTGTGCGGGGGTAGCACCCCTCTGCTTTCACTCTCCCCACGTAGACTGCTCTAATATCATCCCTCAAAAGCACCTCTATAACCAGAGAGCAGACTTCTAACAGACTCGAAGGCCTGGTAACCAAAGTCTCAAACACAGATGCTTGCCTAATACCACCTGCTGCTCCAGTCTGCTACTTTGCAAGTCACTAATCGGGGTCAGGTTTAGGAGACAAAACGCTGAAGTCAGGAGCTGAGAATAAGCAACTTATTCCACTAAGAGCTTCAACACATTGATACTATGTCCATGTGCAATGAAGACACCATCCTTGCCCCAGGAGCATTAACTATCAAACCTAAGAAAACTAAGGATGGGAGAGGAGTTAAGTCTATATGAAGCTATCTGCTGAGTTCAGCATGCAAACCCCCTCCCTGAGTCCCTAATTCCAATGCTCAGGAATGTCAAAACTGGGTAATATGCAGTCAGGCTCAAAAACCTCAGTCTAGGGGAGGACAAGGGAAAAATGAGGATTAGACAAAGGCACACCATTGAGTGGGGATAAAGGAGATACACTCCTCGCACAGGGATAGAGTTATTTTGCAAGGTACTGTCATCATGGCAGATCAGGGATTTACAAAGCCCAGCAACCACCAGCACCAATGTGAAAAAGTGCCATGAATCCCCTTCCTAGAGTCCTCTGGTCTTTCTCTTCCCTACAGCAAAAGCAGCCTGTAACACGGTTCATCTTTCAGGTGCCCAGGTATCCATACCAAGGGACAGCAGCTTCTGGAGACAGAAACATCCTGCCACTGTGGAGCTTGAAGATGCCTCACTCAAATTTCAATCCAAGGGTAATCCTCGCTGCTGCTCTGCTTTACAAGGATATGGATATTCAGTCAACAGCATCCAGCTTATACTCCTTCTCTTCACTCATGCATGAAACAGCACCTGGGCAGCCTCTAAAAACAGGCTTGTCTTGGCTGGACTGGGGCAAGGAAGCCTACAGGCACAGGACAGCCTGGTCCACTGCTCCATCCCCAAGCTCTTCATGTCTCTCAGCTATGAGGACATTCAACTCACTCATTTCAACCTCATTCTTACTTCCCCAATGGCAAGAATCTGGGAGGCTGTACTGGCTGTGGAAAGGAAGGAGCTAAAAATGTCAGCTACATCTTTTGGGAAACATTATTACTGTCCTATAGAGTCAGGTGTTTTGGAGGTAGGATGCAGGAATCAATTCCATTTTCTTTGCAAAGCCCTGGTCACAAATACAGGAAAGGGTTTGGCAGAACCACCACACTCTAAACCGAATTGTGTAAACAATTATTTGGGAAAAAGAAACTTCCTTCCTGAAGAGACATTATCTCTTGCACACTTATTCTTCAACTACCGCCCCCCATGATGCTGCAACAGGATTCTGCTTACCGTGTCTTTCATAGGTTCTTTGGACTCTTAAAACTTTGAGATTAACAGAGTCACCCACGGATCCACTCAACAGTGAAGGGATGTCCTCAGAGGTGCAGAGGAGCCTGTCACTCTCACTAGGTTTTCTCACTTCCACATGTCCTGCTTTAGTTAACAGCAAGCTCAGACAGACAGGCTTATGCCCCTTTGGGCAATTCTAACACCAAGTCAGTTATGCCTGCTGAGACACGGGACATGGTGTTAAGAAGTGCTCAGGGTGTTAAGAAACATCAGCCTGGAAGGCCCCGGGCAATGCCAGCGACCCATGTCAGCATAGGGACACAGAACAGCACCCATAGCACTTGTCTGTAAAGCTGATTTGCAAGAGGTCCAGGTGATTAGAAATCATAAGTTTAAGTTGTATTATAAATTCTGTATTACACTACTTAGAGATTGTAGTATAGTGATTCTGCTTGTAGAAACCTTATGCTATTTTAATAATAAATTCTGTGCTATAGTAATCAGAAAATTCTGTTAAGAAAATGAAGCCTTAAGTAAAAAATTTTAAGATTAAGCTCTAAGCTTTTGACTCTGACTTATTGCCATCACCACTCTGCCAAGGATCCCTAAAAGAACCTCTGCGTCTCATCAGTGTCAGTTATACCACCCTACTTTCACAGGCTCCAGGAGGGCCTACAGCTCCCTAAAAGCAGAACCCAGCCTACTTCCAGTTGCACAAGATTGCAGAAAAAAAATATTTTGTGCCTGATCCTCCCCACAAACCACACATTGACTCTGGAATTTACAGTCCCTTCAGATCCTAAACATTACTCCACACATAAGCAATCTAAAGCTTTGAGCAAAAAAAGGCTGCCAGTTTGTAGAAGAGAGGGATCTCTAGATTCTGCTCAGCATCAGAAATCACATCAAATACTTCAGCAGGGGAAGCATGGAGTCAGTGGGGAGCTAATCTACAAGCCTGCAGAAGCTGAGTCAAAACTTGGCTGCCAGCGAGGCAAGTTAAGGCTGAGGGTGCTGTTGCATCCTTGCCCTCTGGAAAAGCCACCCATCTGTCCCCACACCATCCATTCACCCACACACCTGCGGGAGGGCTGCTCCTGCCTCTGCCAAATATTTCCCTGCAGTTCAGTTTATTATCTCACACTCCTGAATCTCCACTTTCCTTACTGTGGGCATTCCTCGGAAAACCATCAAGTTGACATTTGTAAAAGAAGTGCCTTCTGCCTAATCCTGGAACACAAGGCAAAAAAAACCTTCCACTTGATTATCCCTACTCAGTCTCCTTTGACCCATTCCAAAAGCCTATTCAAAGACCTTCCTGCTCTTCCCATGAAAATATTAGCTTCGAGACAAACACTGCCATTAGCACGCAAATGTATCTGTGATTAACATATACAGAAAAAACGCCTCATGAATAATAGTAGGCTGGAACAATATCAACTACCAGTAGACAAGTTGCTGAGACATAGTCAGGTACTAACAAAACCATTTAATAACAGAGCTCATGTTTCTAGATCTGTAAGATCCTCCTCTGCCTCCACCAAGTTCATCCATTCTCAGCATCCATACAGGATTGTCCTAGCCAGCTCTTGGACACTGCAGCCCAACTCACATTCTCCTGTCCTTGGTAGGCCTTTTCCACCTTTTCTTCCTTCCTGGAAGCAGACATGGCTGCTCAGCTCCATGTCAAGCTGTAAGGGAATACAAAAGGACCTGCTGGGCTTCACCAGTATTGCTGGCTTCTCACACAACTGCTTTCTCCCATTTGGGGAAAGAAAGGGAAAAAGCAGATGGAAGCTGCATGTGAGCTGTCAACTGGATCTCACTGCAACTTCAGGGAACATGGGGAGAGAAAACTGAGTCTGCAGTTACAACTGCCCCAGAAAGGTTATGGCTTCAGTACAGTGGAGGAATGAACATGCAGCTCTCCGATTTGCCAAAGCATCCCCTGATCAGGGACTGTGACGGTGCTCCAGGCCACTGCAGCTCCTGGGTCATGCCTGGCACCCTCCAGGACTGCTGATGCCAGCAGCTCCTCACCAGGATGGCCTCCTTGCACAGAGCCCAAGCCAATGCAGCCAAACCTGGTAACATGGGATTGGAAGGCAGGGGTCAGGGTGGGCTGGACTGTGGCTTTAATTCCCTCACCACAAGCTAACCCCTCCCCCTCAACATCCTTGTGAAGAAATTACTTCTTTGAAGAGGTATATTGCTTACTCCCAAAACAGGCTGAGGATGTACATACAAACTCATGCCACCAGGGAAGGAATCTCATCCTCTCACTTTGTACAAAACAGCACGAGGTGGGGCAGAGGAAACTGAAGGTGTGTAAAAACTACTCTACAATGGCCACCAGAGAACCTAAATGTCTCAATAGCCTTTTCTGGGTAGAACAGAGCACTTGTCCTGGACAGAACAGCCCATGAGCAACAACAGAGCATCTATGCAAAAAAAAGTCAAAATCAAAAGGATGTATTTATTTTGCTGCAGAAATCTTGCATTTAACAGCAAGTTAGTATCACACACATCTGACTAATACTACTGCTGCCCCCTCTAATTTCCATATCTAAGCAGATCCCCAGAATTTGTCTCCTGCCTGGAAGTTGATCTCAGACCACACAGTCTATATTTAAGATATCACCTGAAATGAAATACACAACTGCCTTTTGCCTTGGGCCCATTCTCCTCCTTACTGAGTTTGAAACCTTGCAACTCACTGGCAGCAGGTTTGGATGCAGTTCCTTGCATACAGAGACACATGGCATTCTTGTGCTCAAGTCACAAAAAAGACACACTTCTTCAGCTTAATTCAAGTCAGCCCAGTCCCCGCAGGCTTCAATTAAGTGTTTTCCTTTTGTGCTGGAGTTGGATTTGGCCCTTTGTTTGAAAATAAGGTTGTTTTCCTTTTGTCCTCTTTCCTCTCTCTTCAGTCTCAAATGGTTTGAGTTGCCAAGGTACTCAGTTTTCCTTATCCGTCCTCCTAAATCTGAGGCATCAGGACTGAATGTGACACGCTCTCCAGCATGCACTGACATATGGCCCCATCACGGATCATTTTAGGGCACAGTGGCCCAGGCTGAGCACCGACAGCTTTCAGGGTACTTACTGTAGGTTCCTTGCAGGTTGCTCTTACTTGTGCCAGGGAGTGAGGCTACCATCACCCCCTCGGATCTTAGAGCAAACAACTCTATGAGTTCCCATTCCTGGCTGGAGTGGTGCTGGTCACAAGATCCCAAATACCTGCCAGGGTGGTGTAGAACTGCTCCACTGAAGGGAGCGGACACCCTGAACGCGACAGCTCTTCAAAATACAGCTTTCAAACACAATAAGCACGGCTGAAGGAGCCTGCTCAAACTTTTCAGCATCCACTAAAGGTCCTTCAGCAAAGGAAAAACCCTTCATCCACCCCCAGCCTGACACCAACCAGGTACTATCTATCCCCAAACGGCACTGACAGCAGCAGATGCGTGGCCAATATTCTTTGTTGTGTGGATTTTCAAACCGCAGTGCCGTACCCCTGCCGGGGGCGGCCCGAGCCGCGGGGAAAGGGGGGAGTGAGGGGTGGGCCCAGCAACCAACCAAGGGTCCCGGGCGACTCGCGGCAGCTTCGGTCCGCCCCACGCTGCACATCGGGGCCTTTGTTGAGCCCCTCACAACCCGGCGCCAGGCCTCACGGGGCGGCCGAGGGACCTCAGGAGGACTACACGAGGCTCTACAGAGTCCCGCCCGTGGACGCCGAGGATGTGGACCCGCCCCGGGGCAAGGGATCGGGGGGCGCGACGGATGTGAGAGAGGGTGGGGGGAGAGAAAGGGCATATCATAATGGGCTAAGCGTGGACCGGCCCAGGGCCTGCCGCCCTTTGAGCGCACCGCGCCGGGCTCACCCTTGTGCATGCCGGTGTAGCGGTCTTTGAGCACGGTGAGCTCGTAGATCTTGCCGAACTGCTCGAAGAGCGGCTTGAGGTCCTTCTCCTCCAGGTTGCGCGGGATCTGCCCCACGAAGAGCTTGATGGCATCCAGGTCTTTCATGCTGTCGGGCTGCGCGGGGGGCTCCGCGCCGCCGCTGCTGTTCATGGGGGAAGCTCGGCGCGGCGGCTGCGGCGCTGGCGGAAGCGGCGGCGGCTGTCTTCTCGCCTCGCCCTCGGTGAGTCTGGCCATGCCCCGCGCCCGGCGCGGCTGCGGGCGGGGGAGGCAGCGCGGCAGGAGCGGGAGCGGGAACAGCCCCGCCGCCCGCGCCGCCGCCGCGGCGCCACAAAGAGCCGCGCGCAGCGCCCCCTGCCGGCGGCGCGGAGCCCAGGCGAGGCCCGGGGCACCCCAGGCGTGGAAGGGGGGGGCCGCCTTGAGAGGCACCGGGAGACCCCCGAGAAAGGGGCGTGAGAGTCCCTCAGGAGAGGGTTGACCAGGAGAGCCGTGAAGGTGCTGGCAGCCACGGGCGAGGGGGCAAAGCAGCTGTGGCCGCCACGTGAGGGCCGAGCGGGGAGACACGACGTCCATCCTCAGCTGTATTTTTAGGGCCCAAGTTCTAGGAACCTGGAGGTCCTGGGAGGAGGGGAGAGCTCTGAGCACCCACGAAGGCAGAGCTCCTCCGCATCCGTGTCAGAAATTAGCGTTTGCCTCCATTTTCTCAGTGTCTCAGCACGAGGGTCTGGAGGCAAAGAGGTTATTTAAACCACAAAATTTTTTTAACACAGCTGTCACCCAGTGGTGAGCATAGGCACAAGCACCAGTGCTGGAAGGGGCTTAGCTGGAATGGGAAGCGATACATGGCCCCAGGTCTACAACCCCGGGAAGGTCTCTCTGCCCCTGCCCTTCTAGGCAAAGTCCCTTTTCTTCCCAGCAGGTCAGCTCCCTCCTCACTGAGGCTTGGTGGGGGGGGCATTCCCAGCTACTTCCTGTGTCAGATAGTGCCAGATGGTCAGAAGCTGGTTGCATATCCACGTTGAAGCAGCCATTACTGCTGCTTCAGATCTCATCCCCATGTGAGGATGTGGATTGCTCTCCCACTGGCTTCTCCAGACGTGGTTAGGCTGCGGGGGAGGGAGTCAGTGCTCCAAGCAGCATGGCCCAGGTGGCCCAGGCTGTCTCACCTATCTGCTCCATCGCTGTCACGCCAGGGTGATGCTGAGGCACAGTACATCCCAGGCGTGTGCTCCTTCAGGAGCTGCAGGGGCAGCTGCAGGGGATGCAGCCAAACGCTGCTCTGCCACCCACAGCCACACACTGCCTGCACCTTCCACAGAGTGTTTCCTCTGCAGCATGCACAGCTTTTGTCGTCACACCATACATTTTAGCCTGTCATCCTGTCCCGGTGTCCCTGAAGATGAAAACACTTCTGTGCCCTCATGCTGGGAGTAGGAAGGGGGTGCTTGCTGGATTGTTTGCAGAGAAAGCCGTGGTAGAGCCCAGTGCTCAGCTCCACTGAGCATGCCAGGCCTGAGGCTTTTAAAAAAACTGTGGTGCAGGCACAGCCCGGCCTCCCTTCCCCTTGCTTAGTCTCTCTAGTAAGAGATTTCTGTCATCCCCCACTACTATTGCCCTGGATCCTGCAGAGGGAAGGCAGCAGTGGAGTGTAGGGGTGACCCTACTATCCAACACACAGATCCAGGGCAACAACAGCTCCCATAGAAGCCCAGTTCAGAAGGCTCTTGCCTGCTCCCCAAGTCCCATCCTTCCTCCTACCTTCTCCCTGCAGCACCCCACATGCCAGCTCACCTCCCAGAGCACTGCCTCAAACCCTACCCAGATCTGTCAAGCATAGTTTTACCCAGGAAGGCAGAAGGCTGACTCCAGGCCCCTGTAACAGGAGATACGTGCAGTAGGTTTCAATACTGAGAGCTGTGCAGGAAAGGTTAGGAAAAAGGGGAGGTGTTATCAAGGGAAGAAGAGGGGTCCCAATCCTACAGAGCCGAGAGAAGAGAGAATACCGGTTATGTATGAGCACCCAGCTGGCTCCCAGGCTAAAGTCATGGCAAGAATGACAGAGGCCCTTGCAGAACCAGAGGCACGTGCTGGCCCTCAGGAGGGAGGCACTGTAGACTTACTCCACTCTTGAGCTCAGCAATGAATCTCAACCCTTTTCCAAGCTACAGATCTGTATCCTTCTTTCTCCAGCACTGACTGTTGTCCCCACCTGTGTGTGGAGGTGCCAGAACACTTACTCAGGGCCAGCAGATTCAAGAGCCTGGAATTTTCCCCCAAGCTTTTCACAGGACTCACAAAGGCTTGCAGCTTTTTCAGCCTGATCTGAACCCAGGGATCACTTCATACTGTCTCAAGACTCTTGCTGTAGAGCTGTCTTGTGTTTGAGGGTGGTACCACTCCTAAAATTCACCCTAAAAAAAGCCCCATATCTCCCCACACTGGTCAAGCTTTCTGTTTACATATTTTGCAGATACTGCCAGAGTTCTGCCACCTATTTGGAAGCTACAGATGCATCAGCTGGGAAGCCTACTTCAAGTCAAGCTGTTCTCTTTTTTAACAGTTGCAAACAGATAAGGCAATCTTAAAAACAAGAAATCTTTATCACAGCAGCAGCAATCCTCACCTTGGATGAATCATACCTGAGCAAGTGATGTTTTGAAGCACCTTTCCATGCCTAGCCTGCTTTTTCACATCAGCTGCTGCAGCACAAATTGCTCTTGACTTACAGCTTGAAGGACCCAGTGCCTCAGGTAGAAAACGTCTACTTAGAAAGAAAGATATATCCAGTATCTTTTGGAGTCCATGAATGGATATATCATAATCCCCCCAACTGCAGCAGAGAACAACAGACATGAAAACACTTCTGGTAAATGAAAAATAGAACAGCTGTCAATCAGAACCTGGAGTTTACAGAGCCAAACACAGAATTATATACCAGAGTAATGGGATTAAGGGGTAGATAAAAGATAGTTATAGCATCAAGACAAAGGGAAATGACAGGTCACCTTTGCAGATGAAGAAGAAACATGTTGCACAGCAGACCTCAATTGCACAATTCCCAGAGGATGCACATTTCCCAGAGGATGAAGGAATAGATTCTGCCCAAACCTGAGATGCTGCTTCAAAAAGAACCGTTAAAAGACAACCACAACGTGTGCTCAGAAAGTTTCTCTTCTGCAGAGGGACATTTGCTAGTGAAAAACACCCAAAGTGCTTTCTTCACACTTATCTATACTCTCCTGGTTTCTTGTGGCAGATGAGTACTTGGATTTAGACAGGGGCAGCTTAAGATAAAAGGTGAAGAGGTCCAGTCCAGTGGCCCAAATCTGAAAGGGCCTAAACAAAGGACAGAGGAACAGCAAGATACAATTTGCATTAGGAGTGCCTGCCCAGTCTGGCTCCTAAAGGCATCAAGGAATGGAGAAAATAAAAGGAGAAGGACATCTGAATTTCCACATTAACTAGAAGACAGCACTTAAGGCAGAAAATCCTGACTGCAGCCCAGGAAAAAAAAATAAAAAAGAAGAAGAAAAATCCCCAAGGGATCTTTCCAGGATTCTTCAAAACACTCTGCCTCTCTTACTATTTGCTCCTCAGGCAGAATAGCCAAAGGACTAGTTAAGGCAGTCCTGGCAGAAAATACCCAAGCAAAAAGGCAGTAACTCAGGAAAGTTCATTCCCGTAATGTGATTGCTTCTGGTCTGGAACAAAAGATTCTGCAGGCAGATTGCCAGCCTGAGAAAAACAGCCTCTCTGGGTAAAAGGATATAACTTGCCATAAGCTTTTATCCTCTCTTGTCTACCAAGACCTTGCTGTTTAGCTTTCACTGGATATCTGTTTTACCAATCAATTTAAGATTAGGGAGTTTTACCATTTTAACTTTGCAAGAAACCAAAAATTAACTAAGTTTTAAGGTTTGTGGACTTTACAACCGTTGTCTATAACAGTGGTAAATTGGAAGTGAATATCAAATATACCAGATATCTTTCTGATCAAGAGCAGCTGTTCTTTGAGGATTGATTAAAAGAGAAAAAAAAGGCAACAAAAAAACCCCTTGTTCCTCATTACACAAAAAGTTCAGGTTATTTGCAAACTGTTTCTTCTAATGCTTGAAAGCAAAGCATGTGAAAGGCAGAAAAGTGACACCTGAAGAGAGAATAGCTGAACACCAGATTAGAGGAGAATGCCTCAATCATCAAGTCAACTCATCTCCACCCCTGCTGCAAGCAGCTACAGCACTGAGCCCTTCAAAATATTTTTGAGAAGTTTTATGAAGAAAGATTTTTTTTCTCTCCTGCTATCCCTAGTGAAAGGCTAATCCAGCAGTGACAAATCCAGCCCCTAGAAAAGAGCATTTTCAATTCAGTACTCCACCCCACATCTTCCACACATCCCTCAGGTGATACAGCCCCAGCAGCTCTAATGAGCAAGGGCCTTTGTACCTCCTACTTCACCAAGGTGCTGTAAGTGTCAGATATATTTAAGAGCATGAAGCATTCAGATACTATGGAAACCAGGACAAGAGAAAACCCAGAAATAGATGGAAGATGCAAGCTGTTGTAAAGTCTGGAAAAGTCTTGCTGAGGAAGGCTGTGCTCCCTGCAGCTGATCACAGAGTGGGATCCATTTAGAGCTCAAGCATAAGATATCCTCTCTCCACTCTCTCCATAGTTTGTCATTTTTCTCTGTGGATATTCTTTAACTTCCCCTCTATTTAACAGGCCTCCTAGTTACCACTTCCTTTGAATGATTCACATTTTAGTGTGCCCTTCCTGTGACCTGGAGCAGCCCGCTGCCTGACTACTTCTATACAACAGGAGTATTTGGGAACATATCATGAGAAAAAACACTACAGAACACTCTCCTAAAAGGGAAATCCAAAGCAACCTACAGAGAAGGGTGCCTGTATAAAAGAGTTGAGGTGGCAGCCTGTGAAACACTATGCTTCTTCTTTTTATAATACAGACAGCTGTGTTGTGCATATTCAACCTCTACAGACAAACCAGTTGGTGAAGTAGAATAATCCCTTCACTCAAAAAACCAGTATAGCATGTAGAGGAAACACACAGGATGCCAACATGAGGTATACAAACCACCTTACTCAATAGTCAACAAAATGTAAGTCAGTAACAGGTATAGACCAGTTAAAGTACTCCACAAAGAAGAGAGAAGCCATCTATCCCTGGAAAGCTGGGTTGTTATCATGTCCCTCACCAGCACAGACCTCAAGTCTGCATGAGACCAGAAGTGCTGAAGTCTCA